AAAAAGTGGTGGTCCGCGGGGTCCGAGAAGCCCCCCCCTCGCGTGGCCTGACCTTGGTGCGCCGCCTGAGCGCCCCGGCGTTGATGAGCTCGTGCGGGCTCTTAAGAGCTTTAAGCTTTCTACTGGCACTGGTTTCGATCAAGCGTCGCCCCGCTCCCTTTTGCTGCTGCCCCCAGCTGCGCTGGAGGCCTTGTGCGAGATTATTTCGCACATCGAGCACGAGCGAGAGTGGCCTGTCATGTGGAACCGCATTGTTCATTCTCAAGCGTGTGGGGGGTCTGAGGCCGCTTGGGTTGTTCAACGTGCTGGCTCGCGTTCAATGTCGCCTGGGACGTCCTCTCATTAGGCAGTGGCAGGAGAAAAACTATCGGGTCTTCTTTTGGGGCACCCACGGTAAGTCTTCGGAACGATGTGTGTGGATCCAGGCTGCCTGGTCTGAGCACTCGACGTTCAAAAATCGTAGTTGTGCCACTTTGCTTCTTGACTTAAAGAAGGCGTTCGAGCTGGTTCAGCACCGACATCCCATCTCGGCCGCGCAGGCCACAGGTTTTTTTTTTTTTTTTTTTTTTTTTTTTTTTTTATGTGGCAATTGTACCTCTTGGTTCAGATTTATCGGGCCCCTAGGCTGCTCGACGTGGCTGGCGAGGTTGGTTCGTTGATAGAGGTTGAGCAGACCGTTGTGCCAGGCTGTACATTTGCCACGTGTATGCTTCAATTGGTGCTGCTAGGCCCCCTCTCGATGCCGTTCAGGCTTCTTTCCCGACGGCCCAGCTGTCGGTCAATGTGGACGACTTCGGCCTCACGAGATGGGGCACGGAGTCGAGAGTTGTGCATGACATCGTCGGTGCTGGTAAGAAGCTCCACGGCGAGCTCAAGGCCGCCGGCCTTAGGATTGCCGTCGACAAGTCCCGAGTGCTTGGGAACTCGCCTTCAGTCAGAGCTTCGATCGCTTCGAAGCTGCGGAGCCTTCAACCCCTGCCCGTGAGAGCTGAGAGAAACCTCGGTGTTGATTTCTCCTCTGGGCTCGCTGGAGGGGGCAAGGCCACGCCCGCCTCCCGTGCCAAGGCCATGGGCAAGAGGCGGCAGCGCATGTCGATCCTCAAGGGGTCTAAACCTCGTCGCCGCGTGCTCGGGCGCATGGCTCGAAGCGCTTTGGAGTCTTCCGTGTTGCATGGGTCCGCCGTGGCGGGCACTAACGGGCAGGAGTTAGAGGTTATTCGAGGCGCGGCTGGTAAGCTTCAAGACCATCGCCTGGATGGCAAGTCCCGCGCTCTGGCCCTATTGCTTTCCCCTGTGCCCCGTTTGGGCCCCATCTTCAGGGCCACGTGGTTGCCCGTGAAGGCCTTCATCTATGCCCTGTGGCACTCCTGGCTTCCCAGGGACGCTCTGGACTTTGGCCTCCGCGAGGCCCACGTGCGCTTGTCGGCTCTTGAGCACCCTTGGTCCTCCATTCGGTGCCCCTTCAGTGCCGCGTGGGCCACTCTCAAGCGCGTCGGGATCATGGCTACTTCGGCTACCTCCTGGACCTGGCCCGATGGGGCCGTCATCAATCCCATGGGCTCCTGCCCCGTCACGATCCAGGAGCTCGTGTACCGTGCCGTTGAGTGTTGGCAGTTCGCCAAGGTTGCTGACCACCTGGACCTGCCTGAGTTTGGCAATGGTGTCATTCTTAGCCCCCTGAAGGCCCTGCTCAGCACCCAGAGTAAGCTTGCGGCCCAGCAGAGAGGCCACCTGCGTAGTACTGTGGTTGGGGCTCAGTGGCCCCAGAAGCGTCAGCGGGCCGAAGGTTATGACACCACGCCATCTTGCTTGCTCTGCCCCCTGGCCGAGGGCACGCTGCTGCGCAGGCACTGCCCCTGTGCGCGCCTTGACAGCCTCGAGGGCGCTCCTGCGCTTCGTGCCAATGTAGCGCGGGCGGCGCAGTCGCCGCTAGCCCTTGTTTTTGCTGAGCGCTGTCTGGTGCCGTTTCCCGTGCTGGCCAGGCCGCCGCCTGGGCAGCCGGTGTGCTGGGGGCTTGGAGGGCCTGACTGCTTCACGGGAGACATCTACCCTGATGGATCGGCGTTCCAAGCTGAGTATCCCAGCCTTGCGAGTGCTGGCTGGGGGCGCGTGGCGCTTCACCCCGATCGCCTTCAGGTAGTCGCTTTTTGCCCTGGCCCCGTGCTTGACCCGATGCAGTGCGTTAATGCTGCCGAACTCGTCGCAGTCATCCATGTGCTGCGTTTCGCAGCGCCGCCAGTGCGCATGTTTTCGGACTCTGCCTTTGTCGTGGATGGCTTCCACGAGCGCGGCCGTATGGCCGCCACTGCCTGCGTAGCGGCACACGCTCACCTCTGGCGGGAGTTCTGGCGGTTGGTGGACGACTGGGGGGACGGTTTCGAGCTCTCGAAAATCAAGGGCCATGCTGCGGTAGGTGACATCCAGCACGGGCGCGCCACGGTGCGCCGCAGGTTTGGCAACATGATGGCCGACCGCGCCGCAAAGAGTGCAGCTGCCTTTGCGCGTGTACCGCGTCAGGACCGCGCGCAGCTGCTGGCACGCTCTAAGGTTGTCAAGACCTGGGGGGACTGGATTGGCCGACTCAGCGATGGGCTCGAAGATTGCGGCCACCCCAAGCGTCACAATCGTGGCAAGCCGCGTCTCCCACGGCTTGTTGTTGCGCGTGATCCCGTCCCGACTGATGTTGCTTCTCGCGTGCTGGCGGCGCAGAGGCAACTCGGGGACGGAGCGCGCAAGCATGACCTCGTTAGGACTGCCCTGTGCGATGGTCCCTCTGTCGTGGGCTGCGCGCGCTGTGGCAACTTTGCGGTTGCTCGCGTTGCAGCTCTCAGCCAGCCGTGCCCGCCTGTGGTCACCGATCATGCCAGGAAGGTGCTCAAGCGGCTCGGCAAAGGTGAGTTTCGCCTCAGTGCCAAGGTGTTTCGTGTTGCAGCGCAGGCGCCGCTCGCTGAGCTCACCGCTGCAGACTCCCTGCACGCCTCACAGCTGGAGGCTGGTGACGACTGTGCTGCTGATGATGTCTCGGCCCACCCTTCGGGGGCATCCCACCCGTCTGGTGAGGATGCTGGCGCCCTCTCGGAGGAAGGAGGCCTCGACTTGTCGTCGTCGTTGAGCGGGGGAGGAGGAAGCAGTCTCTCAGTGCCTGCCGCGGCCGCTCGCGCGCAGGCGTGCGGCGCAGCTCCGCGGGCGCCGCGCTCTTTGCCTGCTGCAGCCTCGTCAGTCGCTCCCCTGTTGGAGGCAGGTGATGCTGGCGCCGCTGCGGCCGCCGTGCAGGCTCCTCGTCGTGAGTGTGCTGCCGCCTGTGCTTCGGCTGCCCCCCTGTTGGAGGCAGGTGTGGCCTGCGCCGCTGCAAGCATGGCACACCCTTCGGGGGCACCCCAGCGGTCTGCTGGTCGTGCTGGCGCCTACGCGGAGGAAGAAGGTGTCGGGCCGACGTCGTCGTCGAGCGGGGGTGGAGGAGTCGACTCGGTCACCGCTGTGCCTGCGCGCAAGCAGCGCACGCAGCGCACGGAAGCGGAACGTGCTGCTATTGTTCAGCGACTGCTGGCAGCTGCCAGCGGTCGCCCTCGTCCTCCTCCCCGCGTTTTGATTGATGCTCTCGATAATCATGGTCAGGAACTGCCCGACCCCACCGTGGGGTCGCGCTCTGGGGGGCAGGCCGTTGGCCATAAGGGATCCTCCCAGTGAGGGAGATCGCCCCGTGGCCCTCGGCCTGCCCTCCCCCCTTTTTTTCTTTTCCTTTCGGCGGGCTCGTGCTGTGCCCCAAATTTCTTATGGTCCCGCACAGCCCTTCTGCGTGCGCTGGCGTTCTGGCCGTGCGCTTTCCTTGCAGCCTGGGGCGAAGGCTCCTGGCCAGGTGTAGGGCCACTTGCGGCCCTTGTCCGATGTGCGTGGCTGATGGCGGTTGCAAGGTGCGCCCTCAGCAACGCCGACCGACGGCTGTGGTGTCATAGACTCTGTGGCGCCTCAGGTTGTGCGCAGGAGGGGGAGCATGATGAGGAGGAGGAGGAGGAGGAGGAGGAACAGGAGGAGGAGCCGGAGCATAAGGAAAAGGAGGAGGAGGAGGAGCAGGATGAGGAGGAGGAGGAGTAGAAGCAGGAGCAGGAGTGCGAGGCGGAAGCTCCAGCTCTCGCCTCCACTGTTGGGTTCCAGGGGCATTGGTGAACGTGAACTTGTTCGCAGGCCCACGTGCGAGGAGCAGGAGCAAGAGCAGGAGGTGGGACGAGGAGGCGGCGGGAGGAGGACGGGTGAGCAGCAGTAATCTGCTCCAGGCCACGACCCAGCGCAAGAGGGGCTGGGGAGAGCTCACCCCTCGCCCAGAGCCCACTGGAGGCCTTCAGGGGGGCCTCGAGGCGGACTGAGAGCGGCCGGAGACTTCGATCCTCGATCCTCCCCGCAAGCCCCCCTCCCTCCCGTCCCTCCCAGGAGGCCCAGAATTACGACGTCGTGATCTCTCACGGCCTGGACCCCAGGGCGGCACAGACCTGGTGAGGGCCCCCAGAGGCCGAAAATCGCCCCAAACCTTTCGTTGTGACGCGAAGGCTGTCAGGGCGGGGGGGCCTTTCGGAACCCTCTTCGGCCGTCTTGAAAGTCTCTCGAGCCGTCTTGACGCAGTGTGGGGGGCCTCTTGAGCGGTCCTGGTGTCATCCTGGCTGTCTTGAAGGCCATCTTGAAGGCCATTTGGGCCGCCGGAAGACCGACACGAGCGCCACAGAGTACATTTAGAAAGGCGTATTTTCAAACGACGCGTGCGATGATGGGGGCGGGACTTGTCAGGAGGGGAAACACACAGACACAATGAATCGTCGATTCCCCAGAAAATATGGGAACGTATGGGAAGTGGGGGGAAGACAAAAACCTAGAACATATAGGAAATTATAGGGAATCCTTTTATTTGTGTGCATTTATTTGTGTGTTCTTGGGCCCCTTGGACTTGTTGCTGTCTGCACTCCGCGTATGGGCCCTTTCCCCCCTCCGCAAGCCGCCCGCTGCCGCGCCAGGCGTCGCCGAGGCCGTCGCACAGCCGCGTGCCGTCGAAGCAGTCGCCTGGCTGCGTGGCCGACGAGGACGGCGGTCGGCACGGCCAAAACAGGTACGTAGCTAGGGGAACGAACAATGACATAAACATAAAAACTCGGAGGTCCGCGCGGATTTCTCGGATCGGCGCTGGATCCCCCTGGCGGCGCCTCCGGCGCCGCCCCTGGCGCGCTCCGCGCGCCAGGGAGGGGGGTCCAGCGTGGATCCGAGAAATCCGCGCGGACCTCTGAGTTGTTATCTTTATGTCATTGTTCGTTCCCCTAGTTACGGGTGGCGTTGGAAGGGTACAGTCCACCCGCATAATAAGGATGGGCAGCCTTCCCAAGGATACCCTTTCATCCTTGTCTCTTCGGCCCATCCTTGGCCACTTTCTCTGGCCGTGCCCCGCTCGAAAAGCATGGAACTGGCCCTCCATGGCCCTTGCATCCTTATCGCGCATCCTTATTATACGGGTCGACTGTAGCGCGCGATGTGGCGCCGTCGGGCCGCTTATCGCACGCTGTCCTTTCCGCCTTGGCGGCAGCGTGGGCCGAGGCGGCCTTCGCAGGGGGACAGCGTGCACAGAAGGAGCCCTCGCGGGGGAGATTGCCTCACAGGGAGATCGTGTTTTCTGGAGGTCGATGTTGCTCGCTACGTTTCCAACGCTCACCGTAGACAGTCTATCACAGAAGGTTCCGCGCTCATCTGGGATTTAATGTATATAGGCGAACAGCGCCCCGTATCGCTCAACAGCACTACAAGGCGCCCACTAGCGACGAATGGTATCCAAATTGCGCCCAGTAGGGACCACAAGAAATCAGCATCGCCATGCCAGGGAGATACATTATGTCCGCTTTGCGCGCGAGCGGGCGCCCTATGCGCGATGGGAACGACCAACTATTTCCGAAACGGGTTCCTAGTACGGAAAGGGTGGGGACGAATCTTGACAGCAGATCCTGTCCATTTGAACAGTGCTCGCTGCAGGTGTCGCCATGGACGTTGCACTGTGTTCACAATCTGTTCCATGGACGTTGCCAGGTGTTGCCATGGTTCCGTGGGATCTGGGCGTTGCAATGTGTTCACACCAGGCGTTTTCGCCCTGGTTGCGGGCCCTGGGGCCATCACATACCGATCCGGCTCGAAAAAATGCATCAGAAAGATCGGGTCTACAGGGCTCTGGTCGTGATGCGATATTAGTTTCTCGCTGAGTCGGATTTCAGGGCTGTCCATTTGAGGCAAAGCATCGCCTGCCCCACAGCGGCTACTGTCGCTTTTAAACTACAGTTGTTGATGGGCATCGTGACCTATGTATTCCGTACCCATTTCGTGCGCGCCAAGACGCGGCGTATGGCGCCCAGACTCATCGCCGACGCGCAAGAGTGACCACTCGCCAGTGCGACCCTCGCCTAAACTGTTGGATGATTTCGTAGGTTCTTGGCGGTTTCCAGTCTCGGGATGTTTTGCCGCATCTGCGCCTCGCCAAACTTCGTTCGGACTGATTTGTGCAATCCCAGCGTATTTTGTGTTCCCCACATCCTGAGTGGTCCCAGCCTCCATGTTCGAATCCGAGCGGGTCATCCAGATCCTGTAATTGTTATCTTTTCCAGGGTTTTCAGGTCTGGAGATGGAGGGAGTCTCAAGCGAGTGCCTCGTCTGCGAGTGGATCGCGAGGATATCTCGGGCCGGGTACCTCTCCCTATGGGGTCCCCGCCTCCATGTTCGACTACGAGCGGGTCGTCCACATGTTGAAAACGGTCATCATTTTCGGGGTTCCAGGGAGTAGGAGGAGGAGTTCACCAATTCGTTTGATAGACTATACATGCAATCTCTCGGGCTTGGGCGGGTCCGAGATGCGACGCGACCTTTAAGATATCCCCTCCTGACTGCCTGGCCTATGTCTTGCGTTGCGGGTTCTTGCTACGCTGAGATCTCGCTGGCCATGGCGCCACGGGATGCCACGGGGCTCCCAGCGGTCATCGATTAGGGGTTGCGGTACAGGGTGTCGCAGGCCCTCCTGGATTTCAAAATGCCCGTTCTGTCGGGTGGGGTGGTTTTTGTACTCCAGACCTTCACCAAAGGGGTGCGATCTGACCCTGGCGGGGTGCCCGCGCCAGCCCCGTCTGGCCGCCGTACGGAAGCATCCCGAGAAATTCGAACGCCGCTGGCGTTGTCGAGCTGCAGTTAGTAGGAACTTGCTGGTGACCACTCCTGGTCCGGCTCGGCAGAGTCGCTCCCTCTGGAATATGTCGCGGGCTTCTCTTGGAAAGGTAAGAGAATACAACAAAATTTGGAGTATGGAGGAGGGGGAGACCACCCGCCCTGGTGGCAGAGAAAAGGGTGAGGAGGATACAGGAAAAGAACCTAAAGAAGACGATTCTGTGCCTTGCCAGAGTAGGTTGGCAGATGCTCATGTGGGGTCCTGCCGGTAGCTGCTCTGATGCTCATGGTACCGTTTACCTCGGCCATAGATAGCTAGACTTGAATGTACATTTGAGTACATTACGAGAAGTAAGGGGAGGCCATATATAGGGAGAGAGGATGAATATATAGTGCAGTCGAGAATATGTGTATACAGCCACGTACGTATACGTCTGTAAGTATGGGAATCTTTTACACACCAACAAGTATAAAGCAGCGCTGGGTAAAAAGTGGATTTTTATAGAGAGAGAGAGAGAGAGAGCGATGTATACATATATATACATAGAGAGGGAGAGAGTCAGAAATATAATGAGACAGAGAACTAGAACGAGATGGGGGGAAATACACTAGAGCGTAAATATTATATGCCAGGGCGCAGGGCGAGATGTGAGGGCATCGAAAGGACACTGACTAGAGATAAGAGAAAGAGAGAACGAGAGACAGGGCAGACGTTAAGTGCCTGCGAACACATCAGGGCATTCACTGATTGGGGATCTTCTCACGGCGAGAGGGCGCCTGGGCTCCCCCCCGAAGGACGGACAGATTTGAGCTTCGGCGGCCGATCGTCGAAGAAGCGAAAGGGCATAAAGAGAATTTGTCGCTGGTCCGGGCGGACCGTCGAACATGCACCTCTCGACAAGGCTCGGCTGTTGAAAAGCACCCCGAGGCGAGAACAGCTCGAAGAGCCAACGACAGCCTCCTGCACCCCCCCCAGTTCTCAACCCCCCTCTCAGACCCCCAGATGTCTGGACCCCTTCCCAAGGACCGATTGGTCATCCTGAGTTGCTGTTTCACGGTTCCATTGCCTGGTGAGGGTTCGAAGGAGGAAAACAGATAATAAAACGCCCGTCATTTTTTTCATGACCAGAAGGGGGTTCCCGTCCCGAGCAGTCCTGTCGAATTATTGCTCCAGACGCGCAGCCGAGAGAGAACATGAACCTCGCGGGGTCATGCGACGCTTTTCCGGCACGCGGGCCCCCTCGAACAAACATCGGCGTCACCCCAACATGCTAATTCTATGTTTGCGTCGCCCCCCCAGGTGCGACGCGCGCACCGAGAAATCTTATGGTCTATGCGTCGTGGCGGGCACTTTCCAGCCACACCGCTCGGGTAACGATGTACTGCAAGATGGGTATGCTTGATGTCTGGGTCGGACGCGCGCCTCCAAGGCGGGCATACAGTGTTACTATTAAGTCGGGCCTGTCCCCCTACAGGGGGAAAATTCAAAAATAGTCAAAATATAGTCTGGTGACTATTTTTCTACCATTTTGGGGCATATTTTGAGCATGTTTTGAATGTTTTTCATTTTTCGTCCAAAATCCCCCTGTAGGGGGACAGGCCCCACCTAATATTGGTACTGTATGCCCGCCTTGGAGGCGCGCGTCCGACCCGGACATGAAGGATACCCATCTTGTAGTACATCGTTGCCCGAGCGGTGTGGCCGGACAGTGCCCGCCACGACGCACAGACCATACGATTTCTCTTTGTGAGCCCTATAGCGTGTCCCTGTGAGCCCTGAGGACGGCGCCCAGCCCGCCGAGGCGGAGGCAGGTGCGCAGGCCGCCGTCGCCTCCTCGCGGAGCACGCCGACGCTCCAGGCGGCCACCGGCGCCGCGGGAGAGCCTCGGCGCTCGCCGCCGCTGCCGCCGACGACGACGACGACGACGACGACGACGACGACGACGACGTTGATGACGACGACGAGGATGACGACGACGACGAGGATGATGACGACGACGACGCTGATTGCGGCGAGGACGACGATGGCGGCGACGACGCGGTTGGGGGCAAGCGGGCGGGCCCGACCGGGCGGGTCGTCCGAGCGGGTCGGGCAGGCGGACCCTAACGGGCGGTCGGACGGTTCGGGCGGGTGGGCCTCGCCGTTGTCGCACTCGTCCCAGGCCCTCTCACGTCGCGAACACAGTCGGGGCGGCAGGTCTGGGGCCACGTTTGGCCGCTGGGGGCCCCTCGGCCCCAGGACCGTCGGAAAGCGACCGGGGACGGGAACCTGGTCTCCGGGGTTTGGGTGGAGACCTCTGGGGGTCGACGCTGCGAAAAGGCATGACGTCGGGTGTCTGGGCCGTCGTCGTCGTCGAGCAAGGCTCGGGGATCGAGGATCGATCGAGGATCGAGCGTCCGCGACCTCCGAGGGACTGATTTGCGCAGTTCTGGCGCTCTCCCCCGTGTTCAGCCTCTTCCAGGCCGCGTCTGGACCCTGTTCGTGGATCGAGGTGCGGAGGCCATTCGGTTCGGGCATCGGGGCTGTTGTTGACGTCGTCAGCCTCTGGAGGCATCCAGGGACCCCTTGACGAGGTCGGCCGTCCCAATCGCTCGGAGGACGGAGCCGCGAAGGCTCTTTAATGTTGAGGACACCCCCTCTCCCCTAGCCCTCCACGGGGAACAGAAACTCGTCCATCCTCCTCCTGCCCCTCCCTTCTCCTTCCCCTTCCTCCCTCCTCCCCCTGAACAGCCGCCGCCGCGGGGGAACTTCAATGTTCCAAGTATTGTTGGGGTCCCATTTCGCCGAAAAGCCCGCGGAAACAGGCATGAATTCCCCAGTCTGGCCCGGGGCTTTATAAAAGGACCCTTCGGGGTTAAATCGACTAGACGCAAGAGTGACCTTTCGCTAAGGTGACCTTTGGTGCGGGCCAAATGGTAGCGTCTTGCGCGCTTGTGTTTGGTCCCCCCGCGGCCCCCCAAAAGCCGCGCACGAAAGGTCATTCTTACCCAGGGTCACTCATGCGTGTAGCCGATTAAACTGTCCACCTCAACGGTCCTGGCCTGGCCGATCCTGGGCCAGGGCGGAGCTCGGCCAGGATCACGGAAGTGAGCGGCTGCGCTTTGGGCCGTTGGCGCCTTCCAGAGGCCGCCGTTTCAGGTCGAAGGAGGGCAGCGAGGGCGACGCGTGGTGGGGGGAGGAAGGGGGGGAGGAGGAATTCGAAGGAGGAAGACCATTCCCCTTGTCCCCTCGCCCCCCTTCCCCCCCCGCCCCCTGAGACGGCCGACGCTGTGGTTTGTGCCATCAGCAGCCCCACAGGTCTCGGACCCTTTCCTGGGGGCTGTTTTCCGTCTCCGGTTCACGTTTGACGGTCCTGCCCGCCAGAGGCAGAGACTAGGCAGGAGCGAGGCAGGGGGCCGACTCCTCCTCCCCCTCCACCCCTCCCCTCTCCCCTCCGCCTTCTCCGCCATCTTATGCATATGATCCGTGTGCTTATTATTTTTGCTAGTATTACTATGATTCCTCTTTGATTTCTTCTTCTTCGTTTTCTTCGTATCATTATTGTTAGTATTAGTTTTCTTGTTTTTCTGTCCCTCCTCCCCTCCCCCTCGCCTCCCACCTCTGCCTCTCCGCCCCTCGCTTCTGGCGAGGAGACAAGAGGAAAGGCGGACTGGCTCCGCTCCGACGTTCCATGAGATCGACGAGCACCCCATCGGTCAGCGCCTCGGATGGCGCGCGATGGCCTTCCCCCTCTATCCTCCCCTCAGCATCCTCCGTGCTGTCCTTTCTGAGCTGCTCCTCGTCCTTGTCCTGGCTTCAGAGGGCTCTCCATTGCTTCTTTATCTCTCCACCTCATGTAGGCTCAGTGTCCGACGCATCTGGGGCCAGGTGAGGACCCACGGAGGCCGAACACAACAACACTTGGCGTCACGACTTTGTGTCTCCAACGGTCCTCTGTCTTGTTTCTGAGGCTAGGTGTGAGGTCCTCCAGATCGGCGACGGCCCAAGGCCCGTGGTCTTCCGTATGGCGTACGGTCTCCCGTCTGGTTTCCTTCATGGTCTCCCGTAGGTTCTGCCCCACATGGCCTCGCGTATGGTTTTCCTTATCTGTTATTTAATTTCGATCCACTTTCTATTTACATGTATGTTTGTGTGGTCGATGTTACTCTTCACTTTCTCTTTGACCCTCTCTCACTATATATATATATATACGTTTGCTTTGTATCTCTCTTTCTCTCTCTCTCTCTCCCTCTCTCTCTTGCTCTACATATCTCCACAGTGCTTTCCTGCGTGCCCCAACGAGCTGTTCAGGGTCTTCTGGCTCCGAGTGTGTCCTTTCTCACGGCGGGGGGGGGCCCAAACCACCTCCGCCCTCTGGTCCCTGGGGCCCGTGCAGAGCCCTAGGGGCCCAAAACGGCGACACCTTCAAGACCCGTTCTCTTCATGCTTACTGTCGGCGGCGAGCGAGGGGGGGAAGTAAAAATGAGAAGGCCTTCTCAGTTGGCGGCAGGACTTCTCAGAAGTCCTCGCGCCTTCCGAGAAGTTGTCTGTGTCTGCGGGGAAAGCTTAGAAACGACTTCTCAGAAGGCCGGAGGACTTCGGGGCCTTCTGAGAAGGCCTTCTCCTTCTCACTTCCCCCCCTCGCTCGCCGCCGATCCTGTCCACTCCGTCGAGTGGCTCTGGGGCTGGGGCTCGGGCCTCTCCGAAGCCTTCCGCGGCAAGAAGCCCTCCGGGAGAAAATGGCAGCCTTTGAAGAACCTTCTAACCGGTCCTCCCAAGCCTTCTAGCTAGGGCGGGAGCAGCTCGGGTCGGAAGATCGCGCCACATCGTCGGAGCATCGTCGATGCAACGCGATCTGTAGCCCGTTGTTCTCTGAAGCGCGCAGTTGCCAATGCATCGGCGTTGCGGCGCAATCCTCCGACGTCATCTGCTCGGGCCCCATGTGGGGGGCCTCCAATCTCGAGGGCGTAGGAGAGGGGTGTGAGGAGCAGGCGGCGGCATATCGCGGCCGCGGCCATGAAGTCTCCGCGCGCATGTCTCGGGCCGTCATGCTCCTTCCCCCCCTTCCTGGCCCCTCTCAGGGCCCACTTCGATTCGATGCATCCGGTTCGATTCCCACTTCGACGGGTTCACTTGTGGCGATTCGATACGGCCCGATGCTTGCGCGGCGCTGCTGCACATCCTGGCGCCGATAGCGGCCCGACCCGACGCACACTCCAACTCGTCCCGATTCTCTGTCTCTGTGGTGCCTGGTCATGCCCTCCTCGGCGCGCCCGACAACCTTTCCCCCCGCCCCCAGACCCCCGACGTCATTTATTGTTCGCAACGTCGCCTCCAAGAGAACTCGACCAATTTCCCAGGACTCTTTCGTTATCCCGGCTCGTGTGTTGACGGTCCCCGGGCTGGGTGAGGGCCCATCGACGCCAAATTAATAAACAATTTCCGTTGATATTCTTTCAACACGCGAGGGGGTCTGGGGACAATTTTTTCCCAGTTGTCAATGGGGGCAGGGTTGCCGGCTATTCTAATGATAGCACGGTTGATTCCAATGGCAGCGCGTGCTTTTGTGTGAGGATTGGCGACGCATCAGCTAGCAATAGTTACGAGGGTAAGGGTATTGTGAGATTGGCCAGCATACCATAATTTCTGTTTGAAGCGGCTCCCCATCCTCAGGGTCCCATGTATCTTGAGATCCGACATCGCCCAGGATCACGACCGAAACCCCAGAACACATCTTTCTGATGCGTTTTTCGATCCAGGTCGATTTGTGATGGTCTCGGGGGCCGAGACTGGGCAAAAGCTCTTGGCTAGAAAACACAACGCCCTCATCTCAGGCTCTCAGCACCCCCCCCCTCGATTGTTGGCCCGCGGTACTTTTGAAGCATGCTTCTTTTTCAAAAGACACCCCGCCCTGACGCGACTTCGTGGATGTGGCGTTAACGCCCGCCTCACTTTTAAGCTCCTCTGATGCCGATGTCCGCTCTACTTTGCCGTCGCGGTTTTCGCCACAGATTTGCGGAAGCATCCACCCTACTTCTCTGAGGGGGGAATTTCCGCCTTTCTTTTTCGCATCGTTTGGGGCCAGTTTGAGGTGCTTGCCCTAAACACGTGCAGATCCGCCGGCCTCTTGGGGGGGGGTGGGGGGCGCACCTCCGCCGAGGCGCCCCGAGGGTCGTGGGCGCCGGGCAGCTCCGCGGACGGCGCGGGGGGGGCTGTCCCCAGAAGCTTCGCCGCCTCCTCCTCCTCCTCCTCCTCCTCCTCCTCCTCCTCTTCCTCTTGCTCCTCCTCCTCCTCCTCCTCCTCCTCCTCCGCCTCCTTTTCCTCCTCCTTCTCCTCCTCCTCCTCCTCCTCCTCCTCTTCCTACTCCGTAGCCATTCTGGCTCAAGACCAGCAGTTCCTCAGGGGAACCAGTGGATACCGCCAGTCCGCTTCCAGCTCGCAAGTTTTGGTCACCTTCCGATCCTCGCAGTGAGCTGCCCAGCCGCTGCGAGCCCGTTGGCCGCCTCACGCTGGGCTCCGTGGGTAAACGGAGGTTTGTCCCGTTCCTGCGGCTCTCATCGTCATGCCCGAGCTGGTCAAGCGCACGGGCCTCGCCCCAGGCCTCAAGTCCGTCCAGCGCCGCAAGAAGAAGGCTCGGGGTGTTGACGGTGATGCTCTTCCTCTCGGCGCTGGCGACAGCTCTGGATCCTCCGTCTACGGCGAAATTCCACATGGTGGCGCCTCTCCTCGTGCCCCTGGTGCTGCTGCTCCTCCTGTGCCCGTTCCCATTCACAGATATTCTGGCGGGCGTGAAGAAGACCGGCGTGATGATGACGAGTGCGATGATGAGTACATTGTGCGCATCGCCGAGAAGCCCCTCGCGGACAAGATGATCTCCTACCGCTCCGCATTCATGGGCGAGCTCACCGCGGTCGTCTCCGCTACCGTCGCTGGGCATGTCCAGGACTTCGGCGCGCAACTGGCCGCTTCTTTTGCTTGCTGATGGCGCCGAGAACATTCCCAATATGTGCTCCGACGCCTCCCCCCAGTTCTGTGATGACAAGCTGGACACCTTCGCGAGGCGCTTCCAGGAGCAGTTCGATGGACAGACCGTCGAGCTGCGAGTCCACGACTCCAATGTCTCAGAGCATGGCGCCTCCATCAACGTGCTGCGCGAGCATATCCAGGAGCTCCGCGGCGCGCTCGCCTTGGCGAGTGCGCAGCCGAACCAGCCGCCTCTTACCGCCGCAGGCTTCGAGCGCGACGTCGGCTCCACCATCGTCCGGGTGGTGTCGGCGAAGCTCGCCGCCAACCTTGACGCTGTCAAGCAGGTGCTGTCCGACTGGATCGTCTCTGTCAGGGTGCAGGCCGATTGCTTCGACATTGCGCCCCCCATCCAGGTCAGCAAGCACTTCACGGGCGCTGCCGCTCCTGCCGTCTGTCGCGCGGCCAAACTCCTCGGCGCCCAGCGCCTGGCCCCGTGACAGTGGGCACGCTCCGAGGCGGTCTGCGACGATGGCTCGGCGTCCCCGCTTCACAGCGGTTCTGACAGGAACCTTCGTCAAATCCAGATGAAGATCCAGGGCCGCAAGCTCAGGGATGCCTTCCGCAACGTCGAGGACAGCTTGGTGTGGTTATTCGATCGCGACCGCGGCTGCCACAAGGGCGGGTGGGATCCTGTCTTCCGCATGCCCCCGCAACCTGGCAACCTCGCGACCGAACTCTCCGGGGCCGACAATGTTTCCGTCGAGCGGGGCCTCGACAAGGCAGCGCTCGTCGCCGCGGCGAAGGCCGTCGCCGATCCTCCAGAGACTGCCGAGTGGAGTCCATGACCCGTTCGCAGCGCTGCTTCTTGGACCCGTGCTGGGCGCGCTTTTTTGGGCCCCCACCTCGCGGAACACCAGGGCGCCGCCCCAGTGCCAGGGCGCGCGCGGCAAGGTCAAGCTTGGCCACGCCAAGAGGCTTGACTTCACGGAAGGACATCGCGCGCCTGCAGGAGCTGCGCCAAGACCGAGCTCAACTTCAAGACTTCCTAGCCAGGGTTTCGCCTGGGCTTCGCACATGCGCTGGCCACTGCGTGGGATCTGCAGTCAAGGGCGGCGCTGCGACTATTCTCCCCGCGGGGTGTTCGGCCGTTGCTCAGCCTGATACTCTTGTTTCTGGGCGCGCGCTGCGAGTGGCCCTTCGCTTGGACGAGACGATTTTGATTCACCATAACGCGAGCAACCGCGACCTCATCCACAAGCAGTTGCGGCGGGTCTCCGCCGCTATGGAGTCGAACTTTACAGTTGCTCAGCGCGATCCATGTCACGTGCTCGTTGTGGTGCACGGCGACTTGCACCCCCCCCCTTCTGCTTCGCCCACCTGGTCGGCCTTCTGCGGAAGGCAGAGGGCAGCATGCGCGCGCGTTGCACGGGCTGCGCGTTCTCCGCCGTTCGACGGAGATCACGTCCGAGGGAGGGGCCGGCCCACAGCGACAGGCACATCTTGTGGGTTTGCGGGCCTGGCTGCGTCCTCGCGCAGCTCGCTTCAGAGCCCGCGGTCACTGGCGCGCCTGAGGTCATTGCCGACATGCGCATCCGCGCCCGCCCGGCACGCGCGGAGACGTTCCTTTAGCGGCGTCTCATGCCTCGCGGTGCCCAGAGGATCACGCGGCACATCTTCGAGTCATCTCGCATCCATGAGCTGCTGCGCGACGTCTCCGCCAATCTCGACTGCGTCGCTGTCTCCGCCTAAGCAGGTGGAGCTTCACAAGTGGGCGACCTTAGAGGTGGCCAGGGGGGTCCGCGACAGGGTCTTCATCGCGGACCCCGAGCACATCGCAGCGCTTCTCTTGCTCGCCAAGGAGATAGCTCGCGCAGCGTGGCGCAGCGACGTCGGTCTGGCCAACGAGCCTCGTCGCCCCCATCGCACGGCGCCCGGCTTCCTCATCGTCGCGGAGCGCGGAATCGAGCTGCAGCGCGCCAGTTCTTCCCAGCGCTGGTACGAGGGTCTTCAACCTCGTCTGTCCGGGGCTTGGAGAGCCCATGGTGAAGCGGCTCTAGCTCGGCCGCGTGCCCCGCGCTTCCTGAAGAACCAGCTGTCAGTCATCGTGCGCAAGTCGGCGATGTGGTCCCCACTGAACCGTCGTCTTTTTCTCAGTGGTGCGAAGGCCTCGTCGGATGCCTCCGTCGCGACCGATGAGGCCGTCATGACTCAGAGGCTCATGGAGCAGTGGGCTCTTGTGTTCTCTTCCACCCCCATCGACAGAAGACGTCGCTCCGGCTTAGATTTCGCAGCACGCTCCCAAAGTCGATTTCGCCAAGGTTCCCCCGCCGTCTCCGAGGCTTCTGCGATAGCTGGCCTCCAGGATGCGCAACTCTGAGCCTGGCCTTGACTCTATCCTGCACTCTGCTCGAGCTGCCTTGGGGGCAGACCCCGCGGTGCTTTCGGAGGCGCTGGCGTGGGCCATGCGTGGCTAGGCTCTCTTCAACAGCTCTAACATTACCTTGCAAGTATGGCTCCCCGAGGGCGAGGAGGTCGAGGGCTCTCTCTCGGCCGGGCGCCGTCGCGCTGCGGGCTCGGTTCGCGCTTTCGGACTGCGGAGCGCCGACATCGAGCTTATCAGCGCGACGATCATTTTACAGCTGGGCAAGCTGCGTGTCGATCGGGCGCCCCGCTCGTGTCGCGGGATTATCCCTTCTCGCATTTTTGGCGTCAACATCCTCGAGTTCGACACGGCCTCGCGCGTTTCCTCAAACCTTCCATCGGCTAGCCAGGATACGCCTGCGCTTGCGGCTCTGGACTTTGGCGCGGCTTTCCGAGCCCGTCCCGAGAGTTCATGAGCATGGTGTTCGCGCAGAGGGGTGCGCCCTCTGCTTCCATCTCCGTTCTGGACCAGCTGTGCCCCGTCCTGGAGGCTGTCGTCATGCCCGACGTCTTCCCCGCGCACGCCTGGTGGGTCTCTTCAGGTATCGTTCAGGACTGCCCGCGCACCGGGTCCATCTACGCTGCTGTGGCGGCTTGCTTCTTCTTCGACCTGCAGAGCCGCCGCGAGGGGCCCCGCCTTGGCCTTGCGAGGGCTTGCGCTGGCGACATTGGCTGCGTCGTTCGCCCCCCCCGCCCCCTCTGCACCCTGGCGGGTGTCATGCAGATTGCGGCTGCAGCCGCGACGCTCTCGCTCAAGCTTGGCCAATGTAAGCTCGTTTCTCTCTTCGCCGGGTCCCGGCCTCGAGTGGTCGGTGCCGTCGCGGTCGCCCTCGTGGTCTCGGCCCCGTTCTTTTCCTCCGTCCAGGTGGTCAGTGCCCAGGTCTACCTCGGCTTCGCCTCTGGCCCCGCTGCCGACGACGGCTCTCGCTGGCGCGCCCCCAGCATGAAGGTCAAGCTGCGCCCGGAGGCGGCTGCTGCGAGAAGAGTTCGTCGCCCTCTCGCGCTCTTTCAGGGCCCCCCATCGGCGTCTTCAGCGTGCAACGGGCTGCGGGCAGCCCCTCGATCCCATCCTGGCTCGCTCTCAGCGCGGAGGCTCTGGCCCACGCTGCCCGTCGCACTCTGCCAGAGCATGCGCGTCTTAGGGATTGGCTGTTTAGGCAACGCGATCGGCTTGGCGGCCTGCGCTCACTTCGCCGGGCGGCATCGTCCTCGCCCTATCCGTCTCCCTCGGCAATCCGAAGCCTTCGTCGAGACGCTCCACGGGGCCACAACAGCGGCCACCTCCGCGCGCTTTCCTGATCACAAGAAAGGCATCCCCAGCGCGGCCGCCGCAGCAGCTACTACATGGGCACAAGAGGCTACCGCTGGGCGGGGTCTTCAGCGATCAATCTCGGCTGCCGCGTCCGCTGTGGGACTGCTTTGCCGCGCGCCTTGCGGCCGCGCTCTCGTTCATGATGGAGCATGCCGCTCTCTTGTGCCACGTGGGCGATGCGACCACATCCCCGCCAACATGCGCAGATGCAGCATGCCTTGGGCCTTCGTTTACCTCGAGACCTTCGCGAAGGGGTGGGCGACGCCTCACCGCATTCTTCAACCTCGTGGTTGTCTGCCATGCCGTCTGGAATGCCGCGGTGCCTCCGACGAGCTCAAGCACTACCTGGCCAGCGACCCGTTCCGCCAGATCGTCGAGCAGGAGCTCGGCTATCCCGGGCCGCGCGCGCCGCTCGGGCGCCCTGGTCTCCTTGGCAGCGCCGTCGAGCTGGATCGCGTCGCCATAGACATCGCGGCCCTCTACCGCGCCTACGCGTCCGCACCCCGCGCGGCCCCAGCCTCTCCATGGTCGGCCTCTTTTGTGAGATTCATTTTCGTGCTGCTATCCGGGCAGTCAAACTTGGTGCGACCCAGGCGGCTCGCGCCCCCCTGTTTGTTCGCGCTCGTCGGACGCGCGCGAGTCACGTGCCCATCCTGACGGCGCGCTCAGCGACTTCCACATCGACGTCCTCGCGCTCTTGCCCATTGTCGCCCAGGGCTTCTTCGTCGGCCTCTCGCCCTCTTCATCGCGCCCTTCGCTTCGCGTCGCCCCGGGCGCTTCCGATCTGGACTGCGACGCCCACGACAGAGACTTCGGCGCGCTCGGAGAGCGCCCTTCGCAGCGACGACCGCAGATCGCTCGCGCGGGCTTCCCAGCGACGCCCCTCGACGCCCATCGCTGCGACCGACAGCCACGACAACCCCCGCAACCATCCCCCTTCTACCCCACCTTTGCCGGCTGTCTTGACGGCGTCTCTAGACGCTGGCCGCCCGCGCGACTCTGACGGACAGTTGGACCAGGTGTAGCTTGGATCAAACTTCAGCTCAGGCCCGATGGGCGGGGGAGCAGGGCGGCCACTGCTCGCGCCTGCCGGCGGACGCGGCGAGGGGCAGGGGGGGTGGGCGGACGCGCCCCGCGCCCCCGCGGCCCGCCCAGGCTCGCCACCCCACCGCGTCCAGGGCGAAGGAGGAGGCTACCCAGCTGCTGAGATCGAGCAGAGCCTTTGGTCTAGCTGCCCGACACCACCCACCTTGACGACTACTCCGTCCCACTGTTGCTCCGAAATACAAGTGAAGACCAATGTGACTTCTCATTGGTCATGCCAGCTCTGTGCGTCAATGCTCCTGCCCGCCGTCCCGCCCCCCGTGGGGCCCCCGACTTCGCGCCTCCATGACTAGCGCTGCTCGCGGCGGGGGGCGCCCTCACCGCCTGATCTCCGACGCGCCGAGCGGCGACGGCGAGAGCTCACCGACAGGGCCGCGCAGTGGGCCAAAGCATGGCTCACTTCGATCTATTACGGGCGCCTTGAGGGCGACTTCCAGGCGCGGCTCGATTGGCGCGTGGACTTCGCGCGCGGGCCCCTGCGCTACGACGGCCCCCGCCACCTCGAACACGCCGCGCGCGACACCGTCCCTCGTCTCCGCCCCGTTGCCGAAGAGATGCGCTTCGCCGCTCGGCATGCGAGTGCGATCCCGCGGGGGCGTCTTTGCAGGCAGCCGCGTGCTACCCTTTCCTCGTTCCGCTTCTGCTCGCCGAGCCGCGCGGCCGCATGCTCTGGTTCATGTCCGGATGCTGGAGGGGCGCCGCGACCCCTCGAGGATCCCGACCAAATAGCGCGCCAAGCCCTGCCGCTGGGTTCAGTTTGTTAGTACCTGGAGTTGGATCGCTTCGCCGCGTGCGTTCCCTGCTCTGGGCCCTGGTGACGGGGCCCGCTAAGGCGAGCGTGAAATTTTGGTCGGCGACCCGCTGGCCCCCCCGCCTCGCTCGCTGCGCCCCATGCCGTCGTCTTCATCGCCTGAAGGCCCCCCTCCTCATGAAGAACCCGCTGCCCCGCTTCACCCCGACGGCTACCTGCCCCCCGCCGACCAGGACATTGAGGCGATAGACGCCGCCGAGCGCCACGGCAGGGACTCGCCCGAGGTCTACGAGGACGATGCGATGTCGGATAAGGAGTTCCTCTTCCATTTCGGCTTGAAGCCGCGCTTCCTGGCCGCGGTGCGGTGCGCTCCTCGGTCGGCGCTTGCAGGGCTTCTCCCTCGTGGCCTTCGGCGAGCTCTTCTGGCCCGCCGCCTCCTGGTGCTGACGCGGACGGTTTTCGCTGGCTTGCGGCCCAGCGCCCTGCACCGCCCAGGCCGCCTGCCCCCCGAGCGTCTCTTCTTCCTGAGCGTCACGCCGACATTGTTTCCGCAGGCGCCTGCGAATAATGTGGTGCCCCCCCTTCCACGAGCTCCTCTGGCAGCGTGACTCCCTGGTGATTTGCGACCTCTTGCTGATGAACTCGCTGGTCTGCGACCTCCCGCTGTTCTCCCTGAGGGCCCTGTGCTTCGTAGACCAGTAAGTCAGGTGGAAGCCCCCACGCGGGGGAACACCGCAGGCTCGCGTTCGCCTCGTTTTGCTGGAATGGCCCCTGAGGACGCCCCCAGGGAGGGGGGCACCTCAGGGGCCCGCGGGACTCCTGCTGGACATCGGCTCTCTGCGGTGCCTATGGGCCTCCTGCTCCATGTGGGATTGCCGCAGGCTTGGCGGCGGCCTCGCGCTCTAATGCGGCGGCCGAATCAGATCTGACAGTTGACTGGCCCAGGCGACGGTGCAGCCGAGCTCGCCCTAGTGGACCTCTGCGACGAGCCTGCGGATGACGAGATGCTGCTCGACGACCTCCCGCTGGACGACAGCGACCCCGAATGCGTCATGCCTTTCTCTGGTGTTCTGGAGGGCGACGACACCTTCGACGATGTATCGGACCCCATGTTCATGGACCTGCCCGCAGCCTCGTCCGACTTCGGCGCGGCACCCGGGGGCGGCGCGGCCTGCCCCGACTACGATCCAGCAGACCATTTCGACTTCGGCGAGCATGTGCACACGCTGGATAGCGACGGCGTCGCCTCCGCGGACGCCAACGCCCCCGCCCCAAGCGGCCCCGCGAGCCGCGTGGCGGGCGCGAGCGGGTCCTGAGGAGCCTGGATCGTTCGCCCCAGGGACGTTCGTTCCTCCTTCCCCCCCTCCTCCTCCTCCTCCTCCTCCTCCTCCTCCTCCTCCTCCTCCTCCTTTTCTTCCTCCTCGTCCTCCACGGACCCCGTCGCGTCGCGCAGCGAATCACGACGGGCTGATTTTGGCAGCCGCCTATGGGGGGCCGCCGCTTGGCCCCGGGACCGTCAGAAGGCAACTCAGTATGAGAAGTGGGGCCCGAGGCGTGGGTCGAGACACCCGAGGGTCGACGCTGGGGAGAAACAGTGCGTCGTCGGGGTATTGGGTCCTCCTCCGCGCGAGACGCACGGCTCCGGCACCTCGCGCCGCTGTATCCAGTGCCGCGCGTGCCGCCAGAATGTGGTGGTTGCCTTGCATTTCCGGACATGTGCGTTCGTTATCTGATGTTTTCTCTCTTCGGGATTATTTCCAGCAGCTGCGCCTCGCTGGACCGCTGGAGGAGGAGTGAACGGGGGAGGAGAGGGAGGAGTGGAAGAGAAGGGGGAGTTCGCTGTCATACCGTCTCAGGAGCAGTGCTTCTCGGTTTGAAGGGCGTGCGCGTGATTACTCGTGGGTGCCCCTTTTGTGCCCCCCAGGACACCGCGAAGATGCTGTCGGGTGGCCGGCTCAGCCCATCCAAGAGCAGTTCGCCCAAGGATTTCAAGGCTGGTTTCCTCGAGTCAACCTCGAGCATCTTCGCGGACACGCGAGCTTCGTGGCCCGTTCAGGAGGAGGACGCAAAGGACGCAGGAATGAGAAATGCAGACAAAGGAGGAGGAGGAAAGAGGTGGACGAGAAAGAGGAAGGGGTAGAAATGCAAGGGCGAAGAAGGGATGAGTATGGGTAGGTGTAGCTGTAGGTGTACGAGTAGGCATAGTTGTGAGAGTCGGAGTAGGAGTAGAAGTCGGAGTAGGAATACAAGGAGGAACGGTGGTAAAAGTACGAGTTGGAGCAGGAGTACGACTAGCATTCGTAAAAGTAGTGGTCGTAGATGTAATACTGGGAGTAGGAATAAAAATCGGGATAGAAGCAGTAGTAGTAGTAGTAGTAGTAGTAGTAGTAGTCGTAGTCGTAGTCCTAGTCGTAGTCGTAGTCGTAGTCGTAGTCGTAGTCGTAGTCGTAGTAGTAGTAGTGGTAGTAGTAGCAGTAGCAG